AATTAACCTCCTTCTGTGAAGCACAGATCTAATGATTAGATTTCAGAGTAAGTGTTAATTGAAGTTAAGCTAGCCTTCTCCCAAAATTGCAATCTAGCTTCAAATTATCTGTGTAGTTAGGAATTCCCAAGCCTTGAACTTGGATTAAAGTGGTATGGGGGAAAGATATGCTTCCATGGACAACTATGTACTGTCTCAAGCAGGAGATGGCAAACCCAGCCCTGTAGCCAAATTCAGCCCACCATTGGTTTCTATAAATAAGGTTTTATTAATACACAACTATATCCATTTGTTTTATGTTATCTGTGGCTACTTTAGATCTACAATGGCTGACTTGAGTACTCACAGCACAGACAGTATGGCCCACAAAGCCTAAAATATTTACTATCTAGCTCTTTACAGAAAAATTTTGCCCACCTCTTGTATAGAATACATCCTGCTGGGTTATCTGATTCTGATACTTTGGGAGGTATTTTAGTACATAGTAGATAATTGATAGAAATACATAATAATTCTTGTTTATGGTTATGAAAAGTACAGGTCCAATGGATTTCTCTCCCCCACTGTGGACAAAGTTAGTTTTATCTCCAGTTTCACATTCATTTCAATATTCCTGATATATATATATATATATATATATAAAATATATAAATATATATGTATATATATGTATATGAATAGACAGATAGATGATAGTTAGATAGATAGATATAATATATGTATATATATTCTTTGGGTTTCCCTTTGAGCTGATTTAACATCATCCCAATTTCCTAATTAATGTAATAAGTTAAATAAAATCCTTAACGTATGTTTGTTTTTATCTCTCTCTGAAAGTCATGATTTTAAATTTCTTTCAAAAATCATTCTTTAACAGTGCTCTCAGATTAAATTGTCACTATTTGAGGTTGAGCTACATAATTGTGCACTTAAGTTTTACACATCTGATGATGAAGGACATTTTCCATTGACTTGTTTCTAGTTCTATACATTTTGTCTTAGTATGATTGGGATGCTTATATCAAAATACCATAGCCTGGCTGGTTTGAGCAACAGACATTTCTTTCTCACAGTTATCGAGGCTGGGAAGCCTAAGATCAAGGTGCCAGCATGGCTGGGTTCTTGGTGAGGACCCTCTTCCTCCCTTGCAGACAGCCATCTTCTCAAAGTATTTTCACATAGTGAGGGAGAGAGAGAAAGCTCTAGTCTCTTCCTTTTCTTATAAGAACACTAATCCTGTCTTCAGGGCCTGACCCTCATGACTCTTCTAAATCTAGTTATCTCCCAAAAGCCCTATCACCAAATACCATCACATTTGGGAATAGGGCTTCAATAAATGAATTGGGGTGGGGTAGAAACAAACTCTCAGTCTATAACACATTTCAAAATGTGTTTCTATTTTACAACACAGATATTTTCACTGCTGTTTATAAAGGAAATGATATACTGAAATAAGTAACAGTAACTGAACCATACATGAATGTGAAACCACTCACATATAACCCACTGAATACAAACCAGCAGTATCCTTGTCTCTACCTCACCTTAGCTGAATCCTAAATGTACCTGATTCACCCTACCCGACGGGAAGTTTTTTAGAGGAAGATAGACAGAGCAGTGTCAACTAAACTGCAATTAAAATATTTTACTTTTTAAAGCGCTGTTGGCCTTTCCTGAGGCAAACAGTAAACTGTCTCTCACTACACTCTTGGCTCTTTCATTTTATGACTTTGCTAGCTTAAAGCTTCTTCCCTTTTGAAATGTAGTTCAATAATAGGTGATTTGAGAAAGAGAACAATTCAAATATCATTATATCTTCATGTGAATACAGGGTGAAGAGGCACAGGAAATGACCAAGATCAAGATTTATTTGATCTTGTCTTACTCAATTACAAAATGTAAAGGAATGTTTTTAAATGAAAAATCGTCATTGTGCAACAGCATAAAGTTTAGCCCCAAAGAAAACACTCCATCTGTTTCCTGAAAGGAAAAGGAATCCAACCTTCTCGGATAATCAAGGATAAAGTCTATGTATGGAAAATCCAATGGAAAGCCCTATGTGGGGAGGAAACAATAGAAATCTCAATTATCCATTTAAGATTTAATCTAAAGGCTCTCAGGAAAAAAATATTGGTCTCATTTCTATATATAGACCTAATGTTTTTGTGAATTCTTTCCAGGTACACAGTTTCCATGAGACTCTGTTGGTGGCACCCTATTCTCACAGAAATCATTATGCTGCAGCTATATTGCAAATCTGTGAAATTATTGCCACATTATAAGGCTTCTACACCTGGGAATGGATGTAAAATCAGCCTTTCACTTGATCTTTTCTCATCTCCAAAGCCAAGTCTTTAGAATTGTTTATTTTTTACTGCAAAAGAGCATCTAAGTGTTTGACATCTTGAATTTTTCAATTTTTCACTATTTAAATGGACGGATGTCCCACCGTTTTGATGTTTGCCTATTGAAATTATATAACTGCTCCTCATAAAAATATTAAATATATAGGAATGAATGCTTCAAATGAACACGTGTGTTTAGTAGAAAACCTGCAAGCTCCACTGAATCTCTGAGACTATTTTCAATTCATTAAATTAAAAAAAAACAAAAAACCACTCTGACCCAGTGTGAGCATTGATTAGCCTTATACAACCAATCTAAAAAATATATGTGCTTGCAAGTATAAATTATATCATTATATACCATAAATATTAATAAGCTTAACCCTATAAAATACTTCCAGGTAAAGTAATCATATTTAACATACTCACCTACTTTAGTTTTTTTCCCCAAACCTCAATAAAAAACATTAAGAATATTGAATTTTAAAAGCCTTGAAATATAACTTTAAAAGCCACAAAAATGATTGGAGAGGAAACCACAGCAACAAAATGTTGAAAGTTGAAAAGTAAAAGGACTAAAGGTACATGGCTTAGCAGACCTAAGAGAAATTAAATATAAGTTAACAGTATGAAAAGTCAATTAAAAAATCCTTATTTAGGCTGCAAAGTTTTTAAAAAGCTAAGGAATTTGAGTCACCTGAAATTTACAGAAGTAAGGAAAAAATAGGGACTGAAACTAGAAGGAATGTTTAAAAATATTTTTTAATGAATAATAAGATTCCTAAGAGCTCTCTATCCTGGTAAAAGCTTTCTATTTTGATAAGTACCAAAATAGAAAACTAAAAATGTAAAAGTAATGGCTGCTTCTGAGGAGTGAAAAGTGTGGATGGACTTTATGAACCCTGTAAGTCTCAAAGACGCTATGCATAAAACTGGTAAAAACAAAAATTTTTAATGTAAAAGTAAAAAATAAATGCAAATAGAAATTTTAATATTGTTCAATAACTTTACATGTACTGTCTCTATTTTGGAGACCACTGATACAGAGGATGGATTAGATGGGGGTGAATTAAAGAGTAAAAAAAAACAGTAGTGAGACCCTCACTTAGAATGAAGAATAGGTGCTAAGACCTCACTGCTCCTAGGTCTTGGGTGCATTTTACCCTCATCAGAAGTAAAGGAGAGTCACCGATGCGGTAGCACCGGCTCCCAAAGAAGTGTTCAGGCCAATCAAGAGACAAAGTACACACCCAAGTGAGACTGTGTCTCCTCTAACTGAGGTCAACTGTTACACCCAGTGCACGCCTTCAACTTGCATCACCACAGGTCAACAGGAACCCACACCTCCTTATCTCTGACTGTCCTCAGCTTCACCACTATTACCTGCCTTGAATCTACCTGGATGCATCTCAATAGCCAGCCATTTATCTTTGTGTCAGTTGCTCCAAGTTCCCCCACTTTTTGTCTCTAGGCATCTAAGGTTCCACCCAGATCTCTGTACATCACCTAGGACTCTCTTCTCCCACCTCTCCCCAACTCCTAAAGCCCTTCCACTGTGCCCTCCAGAATTTGTGGTCCATAACAACAGAACATCTTGTATCCTTATATTCTCTAAATCTTCTCTTTGCTCTGTACAAATCTCTGATTTTTGTCCTAAAGACACTGCTTCCTATGTTGCTCTCTCACAGGGACTGTTTTCTTTCTCCCAAGGCTCATGTCCATGTTCAGATGATTCTTTGTCACTCCACCCTAAAATCTCTCAGCTTTGATTCTGACATAAATCAGATTATACCACCAACTGCCCCCATTGTTACTGATTTCTATGGACTCCCAGTTATTCCCCTTTGTACCTCAATGATTTTAGTTCCTGGGTTCTTGTCACTCTTTCCAATATCAAACCTGAAAATGTAAATGTAGATTTTCCTTCCAACAGTTCCTTTTCTTCATTTCTTAAGTTTTTAGCCTCCAACAATGTAACGATTTTATCTATCAACCTACCTCAACAACTGACTTTTATGATCTTGGTCTAGATTTTGTCACTACAAAAAAAACTCCATAATCTCAATTTAAGCATCCCAATTCACAACTTTTTCCTTTCATTCCCTCCTTTCATCATCCCACCAGCATCCATCCACTGGCTCTGACAGAATCTCCAAATCTTTGATTCTACCACTCATCTGCTGTCCCTCTTTCTGTTAATACCATCATTCACCCCCCTCCCCCAGCCAATTTAAATTCCACAGTTAACTGTAATCATGCCACTGTAGCCACTCTCTATTCCCTTTCTCCCTTCTCACTTTGATTTTTCACATGGTAAAACCATAGCCTTGGTTAGACACAACCATACACCTATATGGTCCCCCGGAACCCATGTAGCTGTGTGCCTGAAAGAAAAATACATACCTACTCTAGTGTTATTTTAAAGCCATGAGCACAAACCTCAGTGAATCCTTAATGCTACAGACAATCACATTATATACCTCTCATCAATGTATCCTTCCACTCAACTAGATAAGAGATATTTTTTTCCTCTCTCTTTAAACCAATGTCATTTTCGTTAATCTCACCGTCAGTTGAGAACTTAATTAATTTGCTTGAGCTACATAACAAAATACATAGACTGGGTGGCTTAAACAACAGAAATTTATTTCTCACCATTCTGGAGGCTGGGAAGTGTAAGATCAAGGTGGCGGTATGGTAGGTTACATTCTGAGGCTGCTTCTCTTGACTTGTAGGTGGCCACCATCTCACTGTATGCTCATGTGACCTTTTACTTGTCTGTGTGTGAGGATAGAGAGAGAAAACTTTCACTCATCTTTTTATAAGGCCACCAATCCTATCATATTAAGACTTACCCCTGTGACCTCATTTAACTTTAATTACCTCCCAAAGACCCCACCTTCAAATACCATCACATTGGGAGCCAAGTAGGGCTTCAACATATGAATTGCGGGGCGGGGGGGAACACAAACATTCAGTTTGATCCCAATTTCGATTAGGAAATAGAAGCACAAACTTACACAATCTCTTCTACCCACTGAGCAGCATCTATACCCCTCACTCTTTCTCCTAGTCTGTTACCAGAGATGAAGTGTACATGCTCTTATCTAATGTCAGTGTCTACACTTGTGCACTGAACCTTATATTCTCTTGCATATTCAAGGATATGGTATCAGATCAGCTATTCTGTGTTCTCAATCTTATGCAATCAATTTTTTTATATCAGTTCATTTCCAACAGGGTACAAACATGCTGCATATTTTCCCATTTTAAGAAAACCAACTCTTGACCACACAACTCTGACATTTACCACATCCTTTGTCTTTTGCAGCAAACCTTTCTGTATGTACCTATATTTACTGCCTCCATTTCTCTCTTCCTTTCTTTCTGTTTCCTCTAATATGGTTTTTGACCATATCATTTCACTGAAATTGCTCTCATAAAGGTCTCCAAAGTCCTCCACATGTCTAAATCCAGTGGTCAATTTGTCCTTACTTACTTGATCTTTATCTTACCAAACTATTCGCACCATTTGGCCCAGATGATCATTCCTTTCTCCTGAACACATTTACTTTACTTGGCTTCCAGGATACCAAAATCTTTTGGTTTACTTCCTACATCACTGGTAGCTTGTAAATGGTATCTTTTGCTAGTTTGTCATCTTCTGTCTAACCACTCTATGTTGGATTTCTCCATGCATCTGTCCTTGACCTTTTCCTTTTCTACCTGAAGCCATATACTCTCATGGATTAAAATGCCATCCATTTGCTAACTTCCCATATTTGTAGCTCTAGTCCAGATCTCTCTCCCGAACTTCAGAAACATGCATCCAGCTGTCAATTTGACATCTTCATTTGCATGTCCTTTAAGTAGCTTGTACTAAACATGCGCTAAATCATGTCAAAGTGCCCTCCATAGTACTTAATAACAATTCCAAATCTCCATTCTCTCAAGCCAAGAATAGTTGATGCCGTTTTGACTTTTTCCCTTCTCTCACATCCCACATTAAATGTACAGGGAAATTTTATTGACTTAATGTTCAAAATATAACCATAATTTCTACCACATCCACTGCTTCCAGTCTGCACTTTGCAATCATTCTTTGTTACCTGGATTACTGCTATAGATTCCCCAAAAGTCTTCCTACTTAGACCTTGCTAGTTATTTACACTCTATTCTCAATTCAGAAGCCATGGGAATTCCTTTAAAACCAAAGTCAGATCATGTTATTCTTCTATTCAAAATCCGGCAATGCTTTCCCATAACCTGGAACAGAAAAACATAGTCTTTACAGTCTCCTAGAAGGCCCTATTATCTCTCTGAACTCATATCTCCCCTGATCCCTTCCTAGTCACTCGCAGTCATTGTTGTTCATCAAAGACAATAGGCTGCTTTAGCCTTAGGTCATTGACCCTACCTATACCCACTGCCTGGACCACTCTTCCCAAATATTCACTTGCCTAAATCCTTCAACTACTTCAACCCTTTCTTCGATATCACCTGCTAAGGAGATCCGTCCTGACTACCTTATGTAGTTTTGAATCTTGACAACCCCTTCCCCATAACACTCACAATCCCTTATCCTACTCTATGTTTTTCTTTATCCATCAACATTTTTCCCCTTCTAGCATACCAAATAATTTACTTATGTGTGTCTATGACATGTTTTACTTACTTGATAGCCTTGTCATTTAGTGACTATTTCCTTCTGCTAGTGTGTACATTCTACAAGGTAGGGATTTTTGTCTTGTTCAACAATATCCGCAAAAGCCTAGAGCAGTGCCTGGCACATACTAGACACAAAAAATAATTTCTGGGAGGATAAATTAATATTGAAATAGCATAAATTAATAGACTAAAAATTGCAAAACTGATGTGGCTGACTAAAGAAATCTAACTGGGGATTTCAATAAATTAGAGGTTTAGCAATGTGAAGGTTTAACACAGGAGAGACGAAATCAGAGAACTCCCCATTTACAGAGCAACTATGAAGTAAAATGGGCTCAGCCAGGAATATGGATAAAATCTGCAATTCCAAAGTCTCACATCTTGTCCAAATAACTGGTTGTCATGCAACCTCAGCCAACCGAGCACTTAGCCAAATGATAATAATAATTATAAGCTTGGAAACAGACTCTAAAATCTCCTGAAATGGCATAAATGATTCCCCACTGGTTAACCATTTTTAACATTTAAGGTTTTAAAAGTAGTTATTAGGGCTTCCCTGGCAGCACGGTGGTTGAGAGTCCGCCTGCCGGTGCAGGGGCCGCCGGTTCGTGCCCCGGTCCGGGAAGATCCCACATGCCGTGGAGCGGCTGGGCCCGTGAGCCATGGCCGCTGAGCCTGCGCGTCCGGAGCCTGTGCTCCGCAACGGGAGAGGCCACAACAGTGAGAGGCCCGCATACCGCAAAAAAATAATAATAATAAATAAATAAATAAATAAATAAAATTAGGTATTAAATGACAAAATTAACCTAGCGCACAATAGTTATAATTCTGTCTTAAGTAATAATTTTCATATATTTTATGTTTTATAGTTATTTAACTTTTAAGATCATTTTGCTTATTTCAGGAGTAAATTAGCTTGTAATTTCAATTTAAAATGTTTACATGAGTAATTGTTTTAGACTCATAATTTTAACTTTAAATTCCACTTGGTTTACCAAAAATTTAGACCTTAAAAAATTAGACTCTTCCAATGCATAAGTTTAATTTATTACCCTTCCAACAATTATTTTGGTACATAGGAATTTTATTTTTATTTTGGGTGAGTAAAATGATGCCCCCAAAATGAGAATCAAATACAGGAAAATTATAAATTATTTTTAAATATTAAAATGTTTTGAATTACTTTGTAAAATTGGCTTTAATGTGATCATTAAAATCTATTTGATTTATCAGGAGAATGATGAGATAAGTAGTTGAACTTAAAAGCTTGATGATGTGGGCTTCCTTGGTGGCGCAGTGGTTGAGATTCCGCCTACCGAGGCAGGGGACACGGGTTCGTGTCCCGCTCCAGGAAGATCCCACATGCCGCGGAGCGGCTGGGCCTGTGAGCCATGGCCGCTGAGCCTGCGCATCCGGAGCCTGTGCTCTGCAACGGGAGAGGCCACAACAGTGAGAGGCCCGCGTACCGCAAAAGCTTGATGATGAATAAGAGCTTTAGAGTTTCTCATTTGAAATTTAGTAATGGATTATTAATTTTAAAAATAAAGTAGTTCTAAAAACAATAAAAATAAAGCAGTTCTGAACTAATCTTTCCTGTGCTTCAAAATATGCACACTTTATGAAAAAGCTCACATTGTTATAAATGAGTTAAACAAAACGTTGTTGGAGTAATGTTATTTTGAATAAAGAAGAAGAGGAGTAGTGAGAATGAGAGGCCAGTATTGGGTGAAGAAAGTGAACCCCAGTGTGGAAGTGGAGTCAACATTATTTGTACCACATATACTCAGCCCAACAATTTCAGCTGTAAGCTACCATGGACAGTTGCCCTATACATTGTCAACAGTTCACCTCAAGTGCCAGCCATATCTCCACTTTGCTGCTCAGGAATTTTTTGCAAAGTCATAGGACTTCACTATAAAACTAAAACAAAAATATAGACTATGATGCAGCCAGGGACCACCCTCAACTAATTGGAAGATGTGAATTAGTTGATAAATGTCTCCTCAACCTCCTATTCATCCTTGGGATAAATCTTTAGAAGCTCCAATATGGCAGTAATCAACAAAGCTGGCATTTCCTTCTACCATGTCTTACTTTCTTCTGCCTCCTGGGATCACCTTTCAAATAAACTACTTGTCCTAAGTCCCGTCTCAGGCTCTGCCTGGGATGAAATGCAAAGGTAGGACAGTATATAGAGATACTCTCAAGAAGACTTCCACTTCTAACCAAGCTGAAGGAACAGTGACTGGATTTACACGCCTAGTTGACACAACCGAAAACTGAACAAGAAACAAGAGTTTTCAAGATATTAAACATCAGACAATGAAAGACAGTGATCCCTAATGTATGAGAAATAAATGAAGTGAGACGTACAGTCACCCTAGTTTACAAAATTCAATCTATGTGGCCCTCTTGCTGCATCTCACCTGTCCTCAGAGCCACAACCCCTCAAAATTCCCCAGGTGTGTTCCCTAATAACATGGAACATTTGTTTTTCACAATAAAATTTATGTCATTTAGGAAATTACCAATAAATGCCTGAAATGTTCTATAATAATTTTCTAGATGTTTCTTCCTATATCCATCCAGTTGTATGATTGTTCAGCCATGAGAATGGGATTCTTCCACTGATGGCATTTTTGTTTCCTTACCTGCAGCTTTTGGAGGGGAATTCTCAGTAATTTTGTTAATACCTAATCAATAACATTTACTGAGCCCTTATCATCTTCCAGGCCCTTTGTAGTAGTACTTCCAAGTACTTTGTAGATATTAATCCCCCTTGAAAGAGATGACATTATTTTCATTTTCTAGAACGCAATACCAAGAGACAGAGAGGTTAAGCTAAAACGGGATTCAAATCTGGGGAGTCTGGATCCAGAGGCCACACTTAAAACTGCAACACAGGTTGATTCATTGAATCCCTTCCAAACCATGGCTCTAATAACCAGTAACAGTCATATATCCTCACTCCTTCCCCCCAGATCTCCTTATTTAGATGCCTCTTCTAAAGCAATTAGGATGAAAGACACATTCTTTTGTTTTTCCCTGTGGTCTCAGGGAAAATATTTTCTTCTTTCAGGTCCTAATAATACTGAAGTTGTTCTCTGACA